TGCTCTGCGGCGGACCGAGCGGCGGCGGCGGCTGGGGAGACATGAAACCATTGCGCCGACATGAAAGACATGCGCCGACTTCATCGCGGGGGATACAATAATAATAATAACAATAACAATAATGATAAGGGGGTGTCAAATAATGTAGAATTGATATTTTCCATCTGCAATGATTCCAAAGTGAATCACTTTATTTTACAAATTTCTTAGGAATATTGCTGATCTACTATGTACATTTGATATGTGCATTCTTATTCTACTAAAAATTGAGCTCATAATGTATTATCTGTGACAAATGCTTATAGATCAGGTTTGCCAGAAATTGCATTTCAAGGTCAACTGTTTAACAAACACATTAAATGAAAGTGTCAATGACACTGTAGCTCACCACAAAAAAGGACACAAATGAGTGAGCGAGAAGTGAAGTCAGTTTTAATTGAGCAACCATCGACGTACGTTATAGAAACGAAGAGTATATATCGGAGAACTCCCATTATATACTCTTGATAATTATATGTGTAATTTGTTATGTGAAAATAAATGTTTGAGATGTGAGTCTGAAATGTGGGCGAGTGATCGATGGCGTTACACCTAAATGATCGCCATTTAACGTTTTTATAATATTCAGATTTACCCACTGCCTAAAAGCGGAGCTCCCGATGTGTAACAAGTAAGATTGAGAGGATACGCTTATTCCACGTAGCTGCTATATACCACGTGACAATGATGTTTCCCTGCCCATAACACAACTTTTGTCAAAGGTTAATTGGTAGCATGGAAGTGTTTACTTCGTATGAGTTTTTCTAGGCGGTAGCACACCGTTGCCATCTGTATATCGCAATAATAATTTATAAACCAAAATGAATCACAATTTGTGACGGTAGATGGCACTATACCCGCTTTGATGTTTCTTAGCGATGACGTTCGAAATAAATAGGTTATGCTGCGTTCCGACATGTTTTGTAAAACTTTACTCTAATATAGACGTTGTATCGGCAGGGTGGAGAGGAAATACCAATTTTGCATTAAAGATATTGTCCATGAAATCTTGTAAAACGAACCAGACAAGTGTGACACCATATTTTGTTATCTGCGTGTCTATATAATATGCTATATAATTGCCAAAACCTACCTAATTTGCATAATTTTTTTTTTAAATATCAAAACCCCTAGCCCTTATTCATTCACATACCAAAAAGTGCTGCAGAGCGACAGCGCTCAT